TGGATATGGAACGACAGACTGGTTCCAAATTGGGAAATGAGTACGTCAAGGCTGTATATTGTCATCCTGCTTATTTATCTTATATGCAGAGTACATCATGAAAAACACTGGGCTGGATGAAGCACAAGTGGAATTAAGATTGCCGGGAGAAATATCAATAACCTCAGATATGCAGATGACACCACTCTTATGGTAGAAAGTGAAGAAGAACTAAAGAGCCTCTTGATGAAAGTGACAGAGGAGAGTGAAAAAGTTGGCTTAAAGCTCAACATTCAGAAAACTAAGATCATGGCATCTGGTCCCATCACTTCATGACAAATCGATGGGGAAACAATGGAAACCGTGACAGATTTTATTTTCTTGGGCTCCGAAATCACTGCAGATGGTGACTGCAGCCATGAAATTAAAAGACACCTGCTCCTTGGAAGAAAAGTTATGACCAACCTAGATAGCATATTAAAAAGCAGAGACATTACTTTGCCAACAAAGGTTTGTCTAGTCAAGGCTATGGTTTTTCCAGTAATCATGTATGGATGTAAAAGTTGGACTATAAAGAAAGCTGAGCACTGAAGAATTGATGGCTTTGAACTGTGGTGTTGGAGAAGACTCTTGAGAGTCCCTCGGACTGCAAGGAGATCTAACCAGTCCATCCTAAAGGAAATCAGTCCTGAATATTCATTGGAAGGACTGATGCTGAAGCTGAAGTTCCAATACTCTGGGCCCCTTAAGTGAAGAAATAACTCTTTGGAAAAGACCCTGACGCTGGGAAAGATGGAAAGCGGGAGGAGAAGGGGACAACAGAGGATGAGATGGTTGGATGGCAGCACTGACTTGATGTATATGGGTTTGAGCAAGCTCCAGGAGTTACTGATGGACAGGGAGGCCTGGCGTGCCGTAGTCCAAGGGGTTGCAAAGAGTCAGACATGACTGTGTGACTGAAGTGAACTGAACTGAACTTAATATAAGGACACTGAAAAGTTGAAAGTAAAAGGATGGAAAAATATACATAGGTAAATACTAAAATAAAGCTAGTGTAACTATTTTTAAATCAATCAAAAATAAGCATTAAGGGAGAAGGAAGATTGCTAGAGTGAAGAGTCACAGCATTTTCATAAAAGGATGATAATGTGATTCCAAGCTTGTACGCAACTAAAAGCATTACTTCAAAATATATAAAGAAAATTTAGAAGAGAAATCACAAGGCAAACTTTAATCTATTCCCTAAGAAAGAAATTAATATTACTGGAGAAGAATTGTACCCCACAATTAATGATAATGATCTAGTGGACTCTATAAAACAATACATGAAATGACTGCAGAATTCTTTTAAAGCTCACTCTGAGTATTTGTAAACACTGGCCATACAGTAAACCGTGAAACAATCATCAATAAATTCTGGAGTTGTTATTTATAGACTAGATCCTCTGGCCACATGCAATTAACCTTTCTGTTCCTCAATGATGTTTATGAATCAAGATGCAATTATAAATATGCAAATTTCCCCCAAATTAATCTATACATTTAATGTATTCCAGTAAAAACTACATTGGTATTTATTTCTTTTGATGGAATTTATAATCTGAGTCTAAAATACACATAAAAGATCAAAGGATTATGTAGCTACCACACATGTAAAGAAAAAGAACTAGACAGGGTCATCAGATCAAGATTTAGAGTAAAACAGGCTTTTGAATGAAAGCGGCTGGATAGTTTATCATTCATTTAGAAAAAGAAAGAAAGAATGAAATGGACCCCTATCTCATACAATGGCATAAAACCATGACAGAGGATCAAATTTTAAAAACTTTTAGAGACAAATATAAAACCATTTTTGAGAATGGAGGGACTTCTAGAAAGACACATGAAGGAAAAGACCGATAAGCTGGATTATATGAAAACAACACCTGTTCATTTCACCTTAGGGTGCAAAGGCAAGCATAAATTTATGTGAAGATTTTTACAACATCAAAAATAAGAAGAAACATTTCGCATAGAAACACAAAAACCTAATAAATGCATAAATATTAGCTCAACTGGCTATCTGGGACAAGAGGCAAAGCCCTGGTTTATTGCATTTGGTGGTGTAAATAATCTCACCATGACTCATTTCAAGCTAACCATCTGATGTCATTGAACAGAGTTAAGATCAGTTTAAATACTTTCAAACACAATTGGCATTGCCTAATTGTAATCAGTCAAACTGATCATACAATCATCACTCAACCTACCAATTCCACTCTAGTAGGAACAAAAGAGAACTGCTACACATGTGGAGTAGGATTTATATACAAAACTTTTTAGCAACATTGTTCATAAAAGAAGAAAACTGAAACAGTTGTGCTGTCTATCAAATACAGTATGAACAAATACACTGTAGTTATCCAGTCAATGGAATACAAAAAAGCAATGAAAAGACACAAACTAGCTATAAACTTCAAATAAATAAATCACAAATACAAAATTTTGAGTGAAAAAAACACAAGTCAGAATAATAAAAGTAATATGTTTTCTACTCATATAAAGTTGACAAACAGGCAAAATTCAACAATACATTGTTGAGGGATATGTGTGTGCATGCTTAAGTGCTCAGTCGTGTCTGACTCTTTGTGACCCCATGGACTGTATCCCACCAGGCTCCTCTGTCCATGGGATTCCCCAGGCAAGAATACTGGAGTGGGTAGCCATTCTCTTCTGCTGGGGATCTTCCTGACCCAGGGATCAAACCCAGCTCTCCTGCATTGTGGGTGGACTCCTTATTGTCTGAGACACCAGTGAAGACTAAGGAATATATATACACAGGTAGTAAAATAATCAAGAAAATGGACTCTGGGAGAAGGCGAGGGTGGGATGTTTCAAGAGAACAGCATTGAAACATGTATATTATCTAGGGTGAAACAGATCACCAGCCCAGGTTGGGTGCATGAGACAGGTGCTCGGGCCTGGTGCACTGGGAAGACCCAGAGGGATCGGGTGGAGAGGGAGGTGGGAGGGGGGACTGGGATGGGGAATACATGTAAATCCATGGCTAATTCATTTCAATGTATGACAAAAACTACTGTAATGATGTAAAGTAATTAGCCTCCAACTAATAAAAATAAATGAAAAAAAAAAAAAAAAAGAAAATGGTGAAGATTAAATCTAGGAAAGCGGTTCTATGGGATGAAATTGGAAAGGGACACTGTGGGTCTTCAAACATAGTGGTAAATTTTTATTTCTTAAGCTGAAGGAAAAAATAAATAAAAAGGGAGATAAGTAAACATAGAGATAATATAAGGGAAAACCTGTAAGAAAAATATTTATTGTTATAAAAATAATCTGTTTTAAAAGTGAATATCTGAATCTGAATTCTGTGATATTTTGGTCAGTTTCTCTTCAAGCAATCTCAAACAAATAAAAAAAAGTTTCTTTCTCTTTCTCCACTGGTACTGGGTTTGGAAAATGCTGCGATGTTCATGTCTAACATCTCTTTGGGGGAAAAATAAAGATTATTTTCAGACATGGGCTAATGGCTTAGTTTAGGATTTTGTTCTCTTGACAAAATTTTGTTCCTCTGAATGGCACGAGACACCATTATGCTAAAAAAGAGAACTGAATTAATTATATTACCACAAAACTTAAGACAAAAATGTTTTTCAGCTAGGAGCTGAAATAGAGAATAGCAAATAACCTATGCTTTAAAAAAATGAATAAATTCATATGAATTCCTTAAATGTTACATTATTTAAAAAGAAAGTATTTTTAAAGACTTGATTATCACTCCAAAAATAAATCAAGTTAATGTGCATCCCTCTGGAAACTGCGTGCTCGGTCAAACGGGACGACCATCCCCGACAGAGGAGGACCAGTCTTCGGTCAAGGGTATGTGAGTAGTTGTGCTCCCCTGCTAGAACCTCCAATCAAGTTATTATTTAAAAAGCACTTTTAATATTTTGATAATTCCAATATTTTCAGAATCATGTTAAGTTACTCACATGAAATAAGCATATATCTCTGATTTCAGAACACTGGGTCAAGAATAATAAATATATGCAACATTCCATAGTATTTCTGCCATCTAACATATTGCTCCCCCTTGGCCTTATGGTATTATCAATGGGTGACAGGAACAACAGCCTTCTTTTGGAACTCGTTTAAATGGCAGATGTGAAAAATGTATCTCTTAGATAACCAAAGAAAATTTCAGATTTTCTTCTATATCTTGCTTTTCTAAACTAGTTTCATTTCCACTTGGTATATTTAAAGTACTTAACTCTTTTATGTTTAAATAAATAACTGTATATTTTTCAAACTTGTTTTATGTTCTCTTGAAAGATGACTGGATTAGAGACATAAACACTTATTATGGTTAGAAATAAATTCTAGGAAGTTATAAAATATCGGTTTCAATTTATTTAATTTTCTACCTTATTTCAGTGAAAAAAAAAGTATATATGCCTATTACAGTTTTTGAATACCATTCAATGAATACAGTATGTATAATGTTTTACAAAGTCACATAATAAAAAAATTCACATTAAAAGAAAGGTCATACTGCCTTCTGAAAAGCATTCAGTATTTTGCTACTGAAATTGAAGCCTGCTAAATTCAAACTCAAGTTTCTTTCTCTTAATTACCTTGGGCCTTTGGCAAAAAATTATTTAACTTTCACACTTCCTCAAGTGCTCTAAACAAAGAGTAAAACAGAATTAAAAGACAAATTAGCAAGTTTAGGGAAAAAGGAGGAAACCAACATAATGGGACTTAATGACTGAGTTGTACAATGTTGACCAGTGACCCAAATAAATTTGGGGCACATACTTTCCCATCCCAAAGCTATCTGGATAAAGGGAGGCTCATAACCTTCACATTACCCCCACCACGAAACATCATCCTATCACTGAATAACAGAGACAAACACTGACCTAGTTTAGAAGTGCAGATAGAAAAAAAAAAATGAAAACAGGATACATGGCTACGGCAAGGAAACCATGGTAACTAGAAAAGAGAACTGTTCTGCTTACTTTATTTTGGTCAGAATAATCAGCAAGCTGAGCCTTCAGCTCTGTAATCTCAGCCTCTAACAGACGGATCACTTCCTCATAATCCATTTCCATTCCGTGGGCCTGTCTCTGTGCGGCTTCGGCAAGATGAAGCCGACTTCGCAGGGCTCTTGTTTCTTCGACCACAGCTTTGGTTTCCTAAATATTTAAAAAATAATGTCATTGAAGAAAAGAATGTAAAAGTAGTAGCGGTTTAAACAAAATATTTTCTTCCTTCTGGAAGTTACAATTCAAAAAATGAATCAATGTACTTATATTTTTCACATCTCAATTTGAAAACTAATATTCATGTTATTTAATTAAGGTCATGCGTGACCTTACTTTTCCTTGATTTCTTGGATAACTTTCAGTATGGACTCTCCAACTTCACACATTTAGGAGAAAATTTTGAAAATAAGAGAAGCAGAAGAGAATCGAAAGTGGAAAAGAGAATAAAAATTGGCTCAAAAGATAAAAAGAGCAGATTTCTACAAAAGTCAAGTAGGTGGTAGGGCTCATGTTCTATGAAGGTTTTTGCAGCTCCATCAGATCCTGCTGAGAGATTTATAGTGTTAAGGGCTTCTTGGTGGTTCAAGCCCCAGGAGCCAAATCTTATTCCTAGACATCAGTCTAAGAGCTACCTCCCCAGTTTGACTTAAGCCAAAAGGCAGAATTCAGTAGCAAAATATACAGCCATTTCTATAGGATGCAATGCTCACCACATTTAGAACAACACTGAAGGAAAGGCATTGCTAAAAACCATTTTATACATAATCAACAGAGGCTCAGGGAGGTAACATAACCTATGCAACGGCAGATACAAGTGCCAGAATTCAAACTCAGCTTTACCTGACTCCAACATTAATGCTCTTTTCACCATTTTACTCCACCACTAGATGACAAAAATGAGAACAAAACTATACACTAGCTGTATTTTTCACCTTAGGAAGTGGATGGTGTGGCCCAAAGCACTTGCACTCTCAAAAATGTGTCTTGGTGCTGGCTCAGTAACAGTTTCCAGGACAGCAATATAATTTAATATTGCACTTGCTATAATGTAAACCATTTCTTTCTTTCTTTTTTTTTTTTTTAACTTGATGCAGAAATTGTTTTTCTCTGCAATGGAACTTTCTGCTCCAATTGTCGTGGCTAATATTCAACTATGGTTATTTTAATTTTCTGGGAGCTTTTACAGGACACTTGCTTTTGTTTGAGCCTAGGGGAGAGTTAGAAATGATTTTACTGCAGGACATATTTAAGGGCCACTTCTCCATTCATACATTCAGTAGCTATTAAGTACTTACTGTGTGTGAGTTTGTGTCTCAGGTACTGAAGACGGAGCACCTAACACAATACAAAGTCCTCCTTTTGTCCCCGAGTACTTATAATCTAGTTTGGGGAGAGGGCAGACTAGAGATAATCAATGAAGACCTCACTGAGAAGACTTTTAATCAGAGGACAGCAGAAAGGGTGGAGCTGTGCAGACTTCTGAAAGAAGGGCTTTCTGGGCAGAGAGAGCAGCCTGTGCAGAGGAACTGGGACAGCACTGTGCCTGCATCTTCAGAGAACAGCAAGGAAGCTGGGCGGCTGCAGGAGACAGGAGAGGACAGGAAAAAGGGGGCGCAGACACGGGGGTACAGTGGGCACAGTGTCTGGGCAGCGATGGTGCCGGCGTGGAGTGGCGGATCTTGAGGGCCTTTGTAGGCCACTATAAGGACTTCAGTTTTACTCACGGCCAGAGGGAAAGCGACTGGAGGGTTCTGGGCAGAGAAGCGGTAAAAGGACACCTATCTAACTAACACATCAGTCAGTTCAGCCCAGGCAATCAAGGGTTATGTGTCACAACTGGATCACCTTCACAAAAGACTGCACGAACAGCAGGTAACGGCCTACTATGTGTCAACAGGGCTCTAAATGTTTTGGATAGATCACCTCAAATAATCTACCCAGTGCTGTGAGAGCTATGTCCATTTTTATCCTCATTTAATAGGCAGGAAACTGGAAAGTTAAGTAGTTCGCTCAGAATCATAAACTTAGTAAGTGGCAGAGCTGGGATTTGAACCCAGGCCGTTTAGTTACAAAGTCCACAGTCTTGGCTACAGAATATGCTAAAAAACCAAATGGCTTGTAGGTGACAATATCATCAGTGCCCAGCCCTGCATGAGCTTAGGATGTGGTCATTACAACACACTCAAACACATTTGAGGCTGCTACACCGTTCCCCATTTTCCATTCAATCAGGCTAGGAAAAAAATAATACTGTCACTGAAGAGAAAGCGAGGGGCAGAGAATTCACCATAGCAGCAATGAAGAATAACTAATTCGATGATTTGTCTCCTTCACATTTGCTTCATGCAGCCTTTATTCCTCTATAAAAACAGCACTTTTATTTTTGTTCAAAGAACGCTAGTTAATTAAATGAAGAATCTGAATGGAATTTATATAGCCATTATAGTGCACTGATGGTAATACGGTGTGAAATGCAGTCGGGTGGTAAAAGATGCAGAGGTTTTGATGCTGAATAAATTCATGCCATTTCTTTTGTAAATGTATAACTGTCAGGCTGGTAAATGTGACCCCTTAGCAAAGTTCTAGCCCAATTCCCACTGAATGGCTGTTTAAAAGATTAGTGCATTGAAATGACGACTCTTAGAGGAAGCAGTAAAGAAAAGATAGCAGCAGTGTGCCACATTTAGCAATACAGGATCACATAAATCCGTTTTTTCTTTTCTTCCTGGGCTGTTTTCTAATAACTGTAAAGACTCCTATGTCAGTAATAATTGAGCCAGAATTTTCCTAGTACCTCACCATGAGTCTGAAATCCAATCAGGGGAAATGTGGCAGCCAGTTCACTGATTTACTCTGTGTTAGGTACAGATTAATTCAGTTTGAAAGTTAGAAAATGTTGGATCATTAAATAGCAAGGGAATTCCAAACAAGCATCTACTTCTTCACTGACTACACTAAAGCCTTTGATTGTGTGGATCATAACAATCTGTGGAAAATTCTTAAAGAAATGTGAACACCAGACCACCTTACTTGTCTCCTGAGAAACCTGTATGCAGGGCAAGAAGCAACAGTTAGAACCAGACATGGAATAATGGACTGGCTCAAAACTGGGAAAGGAATACGTCAAGGCTATATATTGTCACCCTGCTTATTAACTTATATGCAGAGTGCATCATGAGAAATGCCAGGCTGAAAGACTCACAAGCTGGAATCAAGATTGCTGGGAGAAATATCAACAACCTCGGATATGCAAGTGATACCACTCTAATGGCAGAAAGCAAAGAGGAACTAGAGTCTCTTGATCAATGTGAAAGAGGAGAGTGAAAAAGCTGGCTTAAAACTCAGCATTCAAAAAACTTAAGATCCTGGCACCCAGTCACATCACTTCATGGCAAATAGATGGGGGAAAAAGTGGAAACTGACAGGTTTGACTTTCTTTGGCTCCAAAATCACTGTGGACGGTGAGTACAGCCACAAAATTAAAAGACGCTTGTTCCTTGGAAGAAAAGCTATGACAAACTTAGACAGCGTATGAAAAAGCAGAGACATCACTTTGCCAACAAATGACCATATAGTCAAAGCTATGGTTTTTCCAGTAGTCATGTACAGATGTGAGAGCTGGACCATAAAGAAGACTGAGCGCCAAAGAATTGATGCACTCAAACTGTGGTGCTGGAGAAGACTCTTGAGAGTCCCTTGGACAGCCAGGAGATCAAATCTGTCAATCCTAAAGGAAATCAGTCCTGAATGGAAGGACTGATGCTGAAGCTGAAGCTTCAATACTTTAGCCACCTGAGGCAAAGAGTCAACTCACTGGAAAAGATCCTGATGCTGGGAAAGACTAAGGGCAGGAGAAGGGGGTGACAGAGGATGAGATGGTTGGATGGCATCATGGACTCAAAGGACCTGAGTTTGAGCAAATTTTGGGAGATGGTGAAGGACAGGGAAGCCTGGCGTACTGCAGTCCAAGGGGTCACAAAGAGTCAGATAGAACTTAGCAACTGAACAACAAAGATGTAGTAGCAAATTAGAAAAATCAACAAAAGCATTATGCATATTAATACTAGACAGTACAAAGAAATGCACTGAAAGGGAATCCTAAATTATGAAGGCATATCTCTGACTTAACATTTTTTTAGTGACATTGAAAAAATGACTTCAACTCACACTCTCTGGTTGTTAAATCAGGATTTTCTACCTTAGAATTTCACAGTGAACCTTCAGGGAAGATCAGACCAAATTCTTCTTTGAAACTACACTTCACACTAATGAAAATCTTTGTAGGCTACAAGAACTTCACTATGTGACTGTGTTGAGACAAAGGGCTGAATAAACTGACCTTTGTCAGCACACTGATATCTCTGCTTTTTCATATGCAGGCTAGGTTTGTCATAGCTTTTCTTCCAAGGAGCAAGCATCTTTTAATTCTGTCGCTGGAATCACTGTCCACAGTGATTTTGGAGCCCAAGAAAATAAAATCTGCCACTGTTTCATTAACATGATATTGAATTAAAAAAATGGGCATTAGATATACTTCAGAATCTTAGATACCTTTTTTTTTTTCCATTTTCTGGCTCTGTAATTCTCCAAGCCTCAGTTTTTTCATTTGTATAAGGGTAAATATTTATAAGCTCAAAACAGCTCTCACAATAGGATTAAAGAACTACAGCTCTGGTACACTTTTTCCCTGTTCCTCTTCATTGTTTTCAAATAGACACATAATCACCAATGTGATGAGAGAGCTAGACTGGATGAAATGACTGAGGCACTCATGTAGTTCTTTGGAAGTAAAACGTGCACATGGCTTTTTTAATGTTAGCAACAGTTATGTAAAATCTTCCCTTCTCTCGTTGTGAGTTTTAACGGCTCCCCAAAGTAGAAGGAAAAAGTGCTAACTGCAGTTGCTCATTTGTAATGAGGTAGCACATTCACATCACTAAACCGAGAAGTTCTGTAATTTTTAAGCTAATCAGTAAATCTTTCATAATGTCAATTGCTGACAGGAGAAAAAGGAGGCCTCCAAGAGATATATGCTTTAGTGTAATATAACTTATGCTACCAAGCCCAAAAGAATACTTATCAGCTTCCTACATCCACTCATTGGAAAACCCTTCTTGGTCTTGGTCCCATTACAGCCTGTGAAAAAGACT